ATGTAAAAATGAAAGATATTAAAACATTAACACTTCAAACTGTGAACATATTAGAACAACATAATAAAAAAATCAAGCAGCTGATATTAAAAGATACATTAAAAAGATATTTGATTATATAGCATTAAACAAAGCAATACTATATAAAATCTTCAACATTCCCCCTTAATCAAACATCTTTTTTTTTTTATTTAATCTGAGTCTTTAAGTCCCAAGTCCGTCACAAAGTGATTACATTTTTCACGTGACAAAGATTTGGTTTAAATATCAGCCGTCATATTTACAGTTGGCATATACTTGATTTCAATGCTTTTCTTAACCATATTCTTGACCTTTAGCAACAAGACGTGCTTTGAACTTCTCACGATCACCATCTACATTTTGCTTAGTTTTATAAACCCATTTGCGTTTAACCACATTTTCATTCTTCGGACGATCAACCAACTCCCAAACATTGTTCTTAATTAGAGAATTATACTCTTTATCCATGGCATTCATCCACTCTTCTTTGAAATTACTTTTAATTGCCTCATTGAAAGTTTGCGGTTGATCAAAAATATCGACAGCTTGATATGAAACGAAGTCGTTCATCCATAATGGTTTTCTGCGATCACGTTCAGGTCTTTTATCTTCAATCAAAGAATTTCCTTCTTCCAAAACTTGCTGTTCTAGATAAGAATTTTCATTTACTGAAACTTCCTGTTCACTTTCATTGTTAGAATGAATAAGATTTTCTTTGTTGTCAACACATGTTATATCATTGTTTGGTTCTTCCACAAGTTCAGTTGTGCTACTGTTTATAACAGTGTATTCAACTTGTTGACTTTCATTTTTCAGGTCATCATTCACATCAGAGGTATGACATTGGTCTTCTACAAAAACAACATCACGTGCTTTTATAATAGAATAAGGTTTCTTAGGATCAATTAGTCTGTAGCCTTTGGAATGTTCACAATATCCAACCATAATACAAGGCTTTGCTTTTGTGTCAAGTTTCTTTCTGTAACATTTGGGAATATGAACATAAGCTTTACAGCCAAAAACCCGTAAGTGACTTAGATCAACCTTTGAACCAGTCCAAACTTCCTCTGGTGTTGCATTCTTTAAAGCTGCTGTAGGACTACGATTCTTCAAATAGATAGCTGTGTTTATAGCTTCTCCCCAATATCGTTTTCCTAAACCTGAATCTTGAAGTAAACATCTTGTCTTTTCAACTAGTGTTCGGTTAATACGTACACTTACACCATTTTGCTCTGGAGTGTGGGGTATAGTGGTCTCATGAACAATGCCATTTAAACGTAGAAAATCTGCAAATTGTTTGTTAACATACTCACCCTTGCCATTATCAGTTCTCAAGCGCTTAATTTTAAAGCCAGTTTGATTTTCTACTTCCATTTTGAAGTCTTTGAACTTACTTAAAACCTCATTTTTGTGTTTAAGTAAATAACCAAAAGTTTTTCTTGAGAGATCATCGGTGAATGTTAAAAGATAAAGAGATCCACCCCAACTTTTAACTGACATTGATCCACATAAGTCTGAATGAATTAGCTCAAGTAATGAAGTAGCTCTGATACTTTGACCTTTAGGAAAAGATTTTCTTGTTATCTTACCTTCAATACATGTGGTACAAGTATTCTCCTTTTCTGATTTTGAATAATTTACTCCATTAACTAAACCATTTCTTAGTAAATCCATTCCTTTATGACTTAGATGGCCTAATCTACGGTGCCACGTACCTTTGGTAGCAACTGTAAGAGCAGCTGATGAATTATCTTCTTTGAATTCAGAGTGACCATTCAACTCTGTTGACTCAATTAAATTTAGTTTATATACACCGCCGTCATTCACAGCAGAAATGTCACTATTTCCCTCTATTCGACAGTCATTTTCTGAATAAATTCTGCACGAATCTTTGTCAAAAACTACTATTTTACCTTTTTCTGTAATTTTATTTACAGACAACAAATTAGTAGTAAGTTCTGGTATGTATAAAACATCCTTAACAGTAACTTTATTAGAATTTTCTATATAAAGTTCAATATCACCAACACAATTACTTGTAAGTTTTGCATTATTGGCCACCAAAACTTCCTTCTTTTCAAACTTACCATTTTTCACCATTTGATTACTCATATGAGTTGTACAACCTGAATCAATTACCCAATCATTATGATCAACTTTGGATGCATAAGATTTTATATTTTCAGTATGGAAAACAGTTGTAAGCAATAGATTGTCATTTTCTTTGTGTTTCCCAACATAATTTGCCTTAGATCTGTGCTGAGAATTATTGCCAAGATTAGGACAGTTAGGCTTAATATGTCCAGGTTGATTACAAAGATGACAAATAATTTTCTTCTGTGGTCTAAACTTACCTTTTGAATCTTTCAACTTCTCAATTTTCTTGGCATAAGAATGTTTAATTGCCAAAGCTGATTCACTTCCAGTTGACGTATTTTCAGACCTCCTAAAATCCTCTTGTAAGAGACGAGTTTTAACAAACTCACTTGAGACAGTTGTTTGAGTAACTTCAATACCCATTATAAGTGGTTCATATTCTGAAGGTAAACCACCCAGAAGTAGCATTGCAACTTCTTCATCACCAACAATGTGATTTATGTCAGCTAACTGTTGAACTAAGGACAAAGTTCCATTTACATAGTCTGCCATTGTGCTAAAATCTTCCAATTTAGTTCTAAGTAAACGTCTTAAAAGACTAAGTCTTCTAACCAAACTTTTGTTTTCAAAAGCATTCTGGAGATTATCCCAAGCTTCTTTAGCAGTGTTAGCATTCCTAACATAAGGATAACAAATAGGCAAAACATTTAAACAAATTTTTGCAAGAGCCTTTTGATCCCTGTTTTTATCTCTGATTGCAGTATCAACAGATACACAATCCCAAAGTCCATCAATTATTAATGCCATTTTCATAGAAAACTTCCAATTGTTATAATTTGAAACACCCTCTAGACGTTCAACATTACTATTTCCTCCCATTATAATTTTTGTCATACTAGACAATCCTGTATTACTTGAGGTAGGTGTAATAGTAGGAGTTGTATTAGTGTTTTCTTGTGTAGTTTCCATTTTAGGTTAAACAACTTAAAAATTTCAGTTCAAGAAATTAGGTAACAAAATATTGTTCATAAGCCTAGAAATCTTACCAAACACAATCAGTCCTGAATTCTTCATTTTAATGTAGTTTTATACATATTCAAAATGAATTATATCAAAAACGTCTTCTGGGCCCATAACCTGATGAAATGAGGGAATAAAATACATAAAATACTTTATTAATAATTGATGTAAAAATGAAAGATATTAAAACATTAACACTTCAAACTGTGAACATATTAGAACAACATAATAAAAAAATCAAGCAGCTGATATTAAAAGATACATTAAAAAGATATTTGATTATATAGCATTAAACAAAGCAATACTATATAAAATCTTCAACATGCAATATTTTTAATTGGTCAAATGATTGTACTTTGACAAAGTTAGCAAAACTGCAGATTTCATGAAGTTAAATATTGCAATTTTCCATTAACGAGTCATATTTACCCTAATACGTTTGATTTAAAGAGTACCTAACTTTTCTGCTACGTGGAAGTGAAAAGTAGTTTTTTTTATTAAAATGTTTATAGTATAAAAGGAAAAAATAAAATTTTCAAATTTGATCAAAATGTATCCAAAAACAAGCAAACTACAACAGTTTTTGTTGAATCCATAAAATAATATAGGGTTATTTTTAATTGTAAAACAATGTTCCAATATACAAAATGTTTTTTATCCACACGATAGTTGTAGTAAACATTTTCTATTTCTATTTTAAAGAGTACAAGTTTGTAAAACACGATTTTTGAAAAATTCTTGAACCCCATAACACCCCTATTACCTGATCTTGCTGGTTTGTGAATTCAATCAAGTTTAATCAGCTCTAATCATTCTACCAAACTCAATAAAAATCTTATTAATCGGTACTCGAGTTATCGTCTTCACGGAAACACATAAATGTATCAACATTTTTACGAATATTGTTTTTGGCTTCTGGGTAGATCAAAATGAATCAGTAAATAGGTCTTTCCGTGCCACCTAAGCTTTATACCCAAGGAAATTCGATAGATAGCGAAAAAAAATAGGCAATCATAAACAGTTAGCGTACAGTGTGCACGTACAATATGTTATGTTAGTACTCTACCACACGCTAGCTTATCAAAGGCCTTTATGTGACATAGACCGCAGGGATTCAGGAAGACATTAGATATATGTGCATAAGGCCTGTCCCAGGTGCTTCCGACACCTGTACCACCTGTCGCTTGACAATAGCTTGTCGTTGTTTATGGCTTCAACGGGAATGCAGATTGAGCCAAGTATTAGGTCAATCACGATTGTGATCTACATGCCAATATGCTTGGTGATATAGGTACGTTTATACAGGTTGTTCCAAAAAAGGTTGAAAATAAAATTTACTTAGTGACACCTTGGGTGGAAATGAGTAATTTTTTTTGCATAAACGTATGTCTGATACTTAAAGAAAAATTAAAAGACTAATTACAACGCCAAAACTTTATTGTAGATGCCCTATATCACGTCCACAAAAGTATGCTTTGAACCCTCTCACGAAAAAAAGACAACACTTCTTTAAATGTAAAACGCAATATAAAATTTACTGCTCTTCAATAATATTTCCGTAACTTCTGTTGAGCTCAACTGTCCGCCAAGTACCTGAAAAGACTTTGTTCACCGTAGCTAGTAATCACAATAGACAATATAGCTATCAGTAAACGTTAGCTACGCCATAGCTTCCTTTACAAGGCCTCAACGAGGCAACAATGGCAACGTCGCAGAGTCGTCCTACAGGACGTTTGTTATTACTGTCATTCCAAGCAATAGGCCGGCCTGAGCGACGTTGCCATACACCAACGCCGTGGTCTTGTATTAGATGAGGCTATGGCTACAATCAATAAAATAATGTGTCAATGCGTCTTACTCACCTCGTTGACGAACACCCAGACTCTGATGACGTACGAGGGTAGGTTCAGACATATAAACACTGAGGACACAACCAGCAGCATCTCTGTCACTTTAGTCTGTGAAGAAGACGCTTGTTTGGACTGTGATCGGGCGAGGATCGGACGCTTCACCCCCACCGGACCGATATTGTTGACTTCTGACTTGCCAGAGTTAGTCATAGACCTCCTAACTCGTGCTAGCCTCCACACTGTCTTGCTGATCAGGGTGTTGAGCACGACGATCAGACAGAACGGGATGAGCAGAGTGACCACAAAGTCTATGTAGTTGAGTGTAGTGGCCAGGTCCATCCAGTGGTCTACCAGGCTACACACTAGGAGTGTAGAGTTGCTGAAACAAGAGACAATTACTGAATAACAGATGAGTCACACTGCCTTGCTGATCAGAGTGTTGAGCACCAGACAGAAGGGGATGAGCAGAGTGACCACGAAGTCTATGTAGTTGAGTGTAGTGGCCAGGTCCATCCAGTGGTCTACCAGGCTACACACTAGAAGTGTAGAGTTGCTGAAACAAGAGAGACAATTACTGAATAACAGATAAGTCACACTGTCTTGCTGATCAGGGTGTTGAGCACCAGACAGAAGGGGATGAGCCGAGTGACCACGAAGTCTATGTAGTTGAGTGTAGTGGCTAGGTCCATCCAGTGGTCTACCAGGCTACACACTAGGAGTGTAGAGTTGCTGAAACAAGAGAGACAATTACTGAATAACAGATGAGTCACACTGTCTTGCTGATCAGAGTGTTGAGCACCAGACAGAAGGGGATGAGCAGAGTGACCACGAAGTCTATGTAGTTGAGTGTAGTGGCCAGGTCCATCCAGTGGTCTACCAGACTACACACTAGGAGTGTAGAGTTGCTGAAACAAGAGACAATTACTGAATAACAGATGAGTCACACTGTCTTGCTGATCAGGGTGTTGAGCACCAGACAGAAGGGGATGAGCAGAGTGACCACGAAGTCTATGTAGTTGAGTGTAGTGGCCAGGTCCATCCAGTGGTCTACCAGACTACACACTAGGAGTGTAGAGTTGCTGAAACAAGAGACAATTACTGAATAACAGATGAGTCACACTGTCTTGCTGATCAGGGTGTTGAGCACCAGACAGAAGGGGATGAGCAGAGTGACCACGAAGTCTATGTAGTTGAGTGTAGTGGCCAGGTCCATCCAGTGGTCTACCAGGCTACACACTAGGAGTGTAGAGTTGCTGAAACAAGAGAGACAATTACTGAATAACAGATGAGTCACACTGTCTTGCTGATCAGGGTGTTGAGCACGACGATCAGACAGAAGGGGATGAGCAGAGTGACCACGAAGTCTATATAGTTGAGTGTAGTTGCCAGGTCCATCCAGTGGTCTACCAGACTACACACTAGGAGTGTAGAGTTGCTGAAACAAGAGAGACAATTACTGAATAACAGATGAGCCACACTGTCTTGCTGATCAGAGTGTTGAGCACCAGACAGAAGGGGATGAGCAGAGTGACCACGAAGTCTATGTAGTTGAGTGTAGTGGCCAGGTCCATCCAGTGGTCTACCAGACTACACACTAGGAGTGTAGAGTTGCTGAAACAAGAGAGACAATTGCTGAATAACAGATGAGTCACACTGTCTTGCTGATCAGAGTGTTGAGCACGACGATCAGACAGAAGGGGATGAGCAGAGTGACCACGAAGTCTATATAGTTGAGTGTAGTTGCCAGGTCCATCCAGTGGTCTACCAGACTACACACTAGGAGTGTAGAGTTGCTGAAACAAGAGAGACAATTACTGAATAACAGATGAGCCACACTGTCTTGCTGATCAGAGTGTTGAGCACCAGACAGAAGGGGATGAGCAGAGTGACCACGAAGTCTATGTAGTTGAGTGTAGTGGCCAGGTCCATCCAGTGGTCTACCAGACTACACACTAGGAGTGTAGAGTTGCTGAAACAAGAGACAATTACTGAACAACAGATGAGTCACACTGTCTTGCTGATCAGGGTGTTGAGCACCAGACAGAAGGGGATGAGCAGAGTGACCACGAAGTCTATGTAGTTGAGTGTAGTAGCCAGGTCCATCCAGTGGTCTACCAGACTACACACTAGAAGTGTATAGTTGCTGAAACAAGAGACAATTACTGAATAACAGATGAGTCACACTGTCTTGCTGATCAGGGTGTTGAGCACGATCAGACAGAAGGGGATGAGCAGAGTGACCACGAAGTCTATGTAGTTGAGTGTAGTGGCCAGGTCCATCCAGTGGTCTACCAGGCTACACACTAGGAGTGTAGAGTTGCTGAAACAAGAGATAATTACTGAATATCAGATGAGCCACACTGTCTTGCTGATCAGGGTGTTGAGCACCAGACAGAAGGGGATGAGCAGAGTGACCACGAAGTCTATGTAGTTGAGTGTAGTGGCCAGGTCCATCCAGTGGTCTACCAGACTACACACTAGGAGTGTAGAGTTGCCGAAACAAGAGACAATTACTGAATATCAGATGAGTCACACTGTCTTGCTGATCAGGATGTTGAGCACCCGACAGAAGGGGATGAGCAGAGTGACCACGAAGTCTATGTAGTTGAGTGTAGTGGCCAGGTCCATCCAGTGGTCTACCAGACTACACACTAGGAGTTTAGAGTTGCTGAAACAAGAGACAATTACTGAATAACAGATGAGTCACACTGTCTTGCTGATCAGAGTGTTGAGCACCAGACAGAAGGGGATGAGCAGAGTGACCACGAAGTCTATGTAGTTGAGTGTAGTGGCCAGGTCCATCCAGTGGTCTACCAGGCTACACACTAGGAGTGTAGAGTTGCTGGAACAAGAGAGACAATTACTGAGTAACAGATGAGTCACACTGTCTTGCTGATCAGGGTGTTGAGCACCAGACAGAAGGGGATGAGCAGAGTGACCACGAAGTCTATGTAGTTGAGTGTAGTGGCCAGGTCCATCCAGTGGTCTACCAGACTACACACTAGGAGTTTAGAGTTGCTGAAACAAGAGACAATTACTGAATAACAGATGAGTCACACTGTCTTGCTGATCAGAGTGTTGAGCACCAGACAGAAGGGGATGAGCAGAGTGACCACGAAGTCTATATAGTTGAGTGTAGTGGCCAGGTCCATCCAGTGGTCTACCAGACTACACACTAGGAGTTTAGAGTTGCTGAAACAAGAGACAATTACTGAATAACAGATGAGTCACACTGTCTTGCTGATCAGGCAGAAGGGGATGAGCAGAGTGACCACGAAGTCTATGTAGTTGAGTGTAGTGGTCCATCCAGTGGTCTACCAGGCTACACACTAGGAGTGTAGAGTTGCTGGAACAAGAGAGACAATTACTGAACATCAGATGAGCCACACTGTCTTGCTGATCAGGGTGTTGAGCACGACGATCAGACAGAAGGGGATGAGCAGAGTGACCACGAAGTCTATGTAGTTGAGTGTAGTGGTCCATCCAGTGGTCTACCAGGCTACACACTAGGAGTGTAGAGTTGCTGGAACAAGAGAGACAATTACTGAATATCAGATGAGCCACACTGTCTTGCTGATCAGGGTGTTGAGCACGACGATCAGACAGAAGGGGATGAGCAGAGTGACCACGAAGTCTATGTAGTTGAGTGTAGTGGTCCATCCAGTGGTCTACCAGGCTACACACTAGGAGTGTAGAGTTGCTGGAACAAGAGAGACAATTACTGAATATCAGATGAGCCACACTGTCTTGCTGATCAGGGTGTTGAGCACGACGATCAGACAGAAGGGGATGAGCAGAGTGACCACGAAGTCTATGTAGTTGAGTGTAGTGGTCCATCCAGTGGTCTACCAGGCTACACACTAGGAGTGTAGAGTTGCTGAAACAAGAGAGACAATTACTGAATAACAGATGAGCCACACTGTCTTGCTGATCAGGTTGATCAGGAAGTCTATGTAGCTGAGTGTACAATTACCAACGACCAACACATTTTAGAATAGTTCCGTTTTACTAATTTCTTGATTTTTATATTTTTATAATATAATATAGTTACTTTAATATTAATTTAAATTGAAATGACATCAAAAATAGAATTTTGCCGTTGTAGAGCGCGGTCGGGGCGAGACTGGGAAGTGGAATTACATTATTAGATCACAAAAGTTCACAGGTGTTACCAGCAATGGGATTTTCTGTACAACGAGCTTTTTATATTTCTAGTAGAATTGCACACTGCAACTGGATGTTTGTGCTATATTTTTTTGTATCCAGATATTCTTTCATAGTGAATTCATTGCGAGAAATCATATATTGAATTGAAATTTAATGTTTTAGGTGTATTTATATTCATTGAAGACGGAGTTTTGGGAAAATAGTTTTTTGGTAATGGGTTGGGTTGACTTAACGATTCTAAAAGTTCTCAGGGAAACGGACACAGAGCCTGGGTGCTTCATATTGTTTGTTGTGGAGGGTAGGTTTCTAGGAAGCAGAAATCTGGCTTTAGCTTGTGTTTTTCCCAATATAACCAGGAGTCCCCCAGATATACTCGTGGGAAGCTGGAAGCATGGGCAATAACATTGGAGCCTAACCTTCTAAGAAATACATATTACTGTTACGAGAAGACTATTTCTAGCTTTTGCCCACTTTGCTGTGTCGTACACACCAGTTTCTCACTATTTCCCTACCCCCTTCTTACCCACAATACCTTTTAAAATAACATATAGGAGTTTGGGGAGAACAGGCTCAGAGCTATCCGTGAACTCTTATTTGTTTTGGAGGGTAGTTTTATCAGATTTGCCCCAGGCACTATGTCCTGCTCATAAGTACGAAGGCTAAGCATAATTTACACCTAGTTATTTCCTAAGATTTGTATTTGCTAAAATTAGAGTAAAGTTATATAAATAAACAATAAACTTAATCTTATTCGTAGTATTTTTTAAATGCTAGCAAGTAATATGTAATAACATAGCTGTAATTTATCAAATGAAAGCTATCACCTAGCCTATCCAAGTTTTACAAAAAGGAAGTTATAGGAAGTAAATGAATAAGTATTTAATCACGACATAAATTGCAATTTTATAAATTTCGTGGTTTGCTAGAAGTTTTCTATTTCCTTTTCCAAATCAACATTTGTTGGGGGCGTAATGGGTGAAAATGAAAATAATTAATAACTCGAAGGACCAGAACTAATTAATAGTTCAAGAGAAAAATAATTAAATTAGAGAAAATGGCGAATCTGCAATTTGAAGGGCACTGAGGTCCCGAGATGGAATAAAATGTCTTGTGAGGGGCAAATGAGATTAGTTTTAGAGTCTAATTAAAACACACACAAAACTTTAAGGTTGTACCTTGAGTCCAATTGTCCAAAGGTGGAGAGTATGGCAG